GCCATCGTCTGGTCGGCAGGAAGATGTGTGCATATCAAGTGGCATTGCGTGCATCCTCTTCCTGCTGTGTTTCCATAATGTGCCTGCAGGTGGTCTTGGGTTCACGACTCTCGCAGTAGAGGAATTGTGAGCACACCAATCACATACGCACCCCCCTTCTCGTCTGATAGTTGCTCTCTTTGGTCTCGCAGTTTGTCAGTGTCCGCTGCGAGACACCTGACTGCTGCAAATGCATTGCTGCTTACATTTTATATTTGTGGACATTGGTCAAGCTTTCGAAACGTGCTCCTTTACGTACGCCAATGAGAGAGACATGTGTGTGCGTTGGATGCGGGCCACTTTATCCTTTTTGTTCACTCAGAGGGTCGCTCATGGAGGTGCTGGACCTGAAGAGGCCACCGCCAGGGAGTGGTGCTGCTGGAGCTAAAGTTCTGGCCCACCTTGTACACCAACTACGGCCACTCGTACGAGAAGGTTCTCGCCGCCATCCAGAGGGGATGCGGGAGGGACGGCGGCGGTGTCAAAGCAATATTGACGTACGCTGAGAGGGCTCACAAACAGACAAACAGACAGACAGACAGACAGACAGGCAGGCGCCGACAGGGTGCACAAATGGCATTGTGTATATGTCGTGTTTGACGAGGAGGATGACGATGACGAGGAAGATGACGAGGAAGATGGCGAAGAAGAAGGCGGGGACGACGAGGAGGAGGCCGAGGAGCCTGAGACCTTCCAGGTCGCTTCACTCGTCTACGCCTGTGTCGCCAGGGAGCTGCTGCAGACTTCACAGAAGCTGCTCTTCTGCCTGGTGGGGGAAATGGTCCGCTGGACGGCAACCCGGCAAGTGCTGAGGCGCGTCCTGCAGACGGCGATGGCGTCACTGGTGCAGCAGTCCGTCACCATGGCCCGGCAGGGAGGCAGCGGCATCGCAGTTGACGAGACACGGGGTGATGGAGACACGGGAGGAGGAGCGAGACAACGGCGTTGATCATTTGATGCCCGAGGGCGGCGGGACCACTGAAGGGACACAGCCAGAGGGCCAGCAGCATGATGATATGGACATCACCAGCCCCAACGCTGACGACGACCCGCACAAACGGGGCCACAAGAGGCGCCACGAGAGCGAGGACAGGGACGCGCAGCAGCCGCCCCGACCCTCCGAGAAGCGCCGCCGCCTCAAGACGGGCAGGAGGGGCACCAAGCGTAAGGGACACCCCCGAAGCGTCGCAGAGGGCCCGCCCCTGAAGAAGCGTCGCACATCTGGTACGCATGGCGGGCGGGCGGGTGGACGCACCCACCAACAGGTGCATCATCCATTTATCTCACTGGGGGCTGGTTGGTTGTCTTGTGTTTGTCTTGTGTCAGACTCTTGCATCCCGGGGCCATCCGCTGGCCGCCAGGTTGGCTGCTGGCTTCATCCACCCGTCCAGCGACAGATGGACTGGCTGCAGCTGCCTCCCCTTCAGCAGCCGCTCATCCCCGAAGAGCAGCAGCAGCCGCCCATCGACCCCCCGGAGCAACAGGAGCAGCCACCGGCCGACGAAGACGACCCACCAGGCGGCAACCAGAACCACCAGCCACAGGTGGAGCAGCAGCAGGCCGCCACAGCGTCCAGCAGCCGGAAGAAGCGCAAGAGGGTGGGCTCCCGGCTGCGGGCTGAAACCGCTGCCCTCAAGGCTTCTGTGGCGTCCTTCTGCGGCGACGTGTCGAGGCAGGGGGACGGCGAGGGAGACGGGGGAGACGGGGGCGACAAGGGCTACAGCATTCGCAGCAAGAGGCGCCGCGACCGATAGTTGATGAGTCTCCACCTGCCGTTTATTTGTGTGTGCATGGATGGATGGATGAATGGATGGCTCCGGGCCTGTAGGAGGCCTCTTCTGCTTTGGTTGCAGTCGGTATGATGTTGCTGCTGGACGGACTGATGGACCGCCAGCAGCGTAGACTGCAACTGCCCGGCTGACATGACACCGCTGCGTACATTTTATATCTGCGGAGGGACTTTTCTCTGTTTATCGTAAGTTTCCTGTGGACGATCCCTCGCTTCTGTCTGCTGAAGCTTTGAATGAACACTCACCTGGACGTTGGACGTGATTGCGATGGCACTTAATGGAGCGACCGATGTGTGAGACGACAATGCCTTGGCAGAGACATGCGAATGTCTTGGACTTGTCTTTGGGGGCATCATGTATCCATCAACGTATCATTGGGGTCTCTCCGCATACATATGGATCGCATCGATATGCATCGTCTGTCTGTGTGTCCCTGTGTGTGTCGCGTCTCTATCATTTCTGCCGCGACACACACACCCCTCCACAAACCAAGTCATCCATCCATCCATCAGCACACATGACAGAACAACGCAGAAAGTGAGTGAGTAAGTGAGCAAGAGGACATATTTATCATGCAAGGGCCATCTCACAGACGCACATGCCCCCTTGCCCCTTCGGCCATGACATCACCCATGATGTCCTCGCGGCCTCATCGGGGCGAAAAGGGCCGCCCAGGGGGCTTCTCCCCGCCCCAGCTGGACACACACACACAGAGACAAAAACAGCACTCACTCCCAGCTGACACACCACACACACATTCGCACAGAAGGAGGAGACACATGAGTGAGTATGCAGGTCAATCAACACACAAAATGAAACACTACACAGCACATCAGTTAGTGAGTTTGTATGTCTGGAAGAGATGGAGCCATACACACACACACACACACACGGGAGACCAACGAATATCTCTCTCCCTCTCCCCCCCTCCCTCCCTGCCTGCCTGCCTGTCTAAAGGCGGCCGAAAGGAGGCAGCACACGTACTGCCTGCGATCACCGCCAAAAACCTCCAGAGATCTACATCCCCCCATCCCAATACATTCCAACACGTACAGTACACACGATGGATCTGTCGGTCAATCGATCACTCGTGTCCCTCCTCCCGTCTCCTGCGCTTCCGGAGCCGTGAAGATCGGCGCAGGCGCTTCAGTGGCTGCTCGTCGGGTGGAATTCGTCGACGCCTCTTGGCAGCAGGCTCGTCAGCGGCGTTTCCGGCCTGCTCATCACCACCGGGGTGACCGACGGGCGGCATGTCCTGGTCGGGGATCTCGCCCTGAGGCTGATCCCCCATCTCGTCATCCCCCTCGTCACGGTCGTCATCGCAGCCCCTCTTGGCCCCTCTCCGACTCGACTCGATGCCCGCGGGGTCGAGGCGCTGCTGGTCGCCGCCATCATCCTGGTGCATGGCCTGGTCGGGCGCCTCACCGGCTTGGGGCTGATCCTCCATCTCGTCACCCCCCTCGTCACGGTCGTGCAGTGGAAGGGCCCGCTCGACGGCCTTGGAAGTGCGGATGATGTCAATGGCCAAGCAGCACAACACTTGCTGGGCGGCCCGCAGCAGCTCTGCCGCCACACACCCATAGATTGCCGCCACACACGCCATGACGGTGCCCCGCCCTCCTCGCTGTCATCACCCCCGTCACTCTCATTGCCGTCCTCGTCCTCGTCGCTCTCGTCCTCCTCGTCATCGGAGACGGCCGGCGACTGCTCGGGCGGCGTGTTGACCGGCACACGACAAGGCGGCGGAGTCTTGAAGGGGTCGTCCTGGTCCCATCCCACCTCCTCATCGCCCTCCCGTCCACCGACCGCCTGCCCAGGCGGCGGCGTCTCGTCGTCATCCAGGCGGCTCCGGGGCTGCTTGCGGGGCGATGGCGTTTGGTCCTCGAGCTCCATGTCGAGGTCAGCGTCAAAGCTGTCGTTGATGGGCGACTCTCGCGAATGGGCCGCTGGCTCTCCTGCAGCCGGCCGATTGCTGCGGGGCGGGGATGGGGAGCGAGGGGAGGGACTGGGCGGCCTGTGTCGAGGCGGCATGGGAGAGAGGGGGCCGACCCACCGAGGCCCGCCCCACTTGAAGGGGTCGCTGTCGGCCATCGACATGAACGCAGACGAGATGTCGTCCGGCCTAGGGTTCCCCCAGTATGCGGCGGGGTCCTCGTAGCACAGCTGCCTTTCCCTTTTGAGGGCCGCCCGGATTTCCGCCCTCAGCGCCTCCC